CCAGCTGAATTCCTGAGAGGAGACGAAATCCAGGTCTCCTACTCCTCCGCCATCTTGCTCCGCCCCCCCGCGATAGAAGTTTATTAAGTGAAGGTACAGAAAAAGCTCTCAAGAGTGAGAGGGGTCCCAACAGGGTTGCCAGTGAGGGCCTTTAGGGTTGGTCTTTTATAGAAAGCTACCAGGGACTTAAATCCTTTTAACATTTCTATTGATAGCACCATTGAGCAAGGACTAGTCATAACACCTTCAGTGGCTTACTTCCTTTTTAGGGTCCCGTTGGTTATTCCTTGTTGGTCTCAAGTGATTATCATAAAAAGACACCTACCCCGCACGCTCTAGGCATTATTTTTTAAAAAGATTTTTATTTATTTATTTGTGAGAGAGAGAGAGAGAGAGAGAGCACAAGTGGGGGCGGGGAGGCAGAGGGAGAGGGAGAAGCGGACTCCCCACTGAACAGGAAGCCCCAGGCCAGCTAGATTCCAGGACCCTGAGATCATGACCTGAGCTGAAGTCAAACCTTAACCCACTGAGTCACCCAGGCCCCCCTCGTAGGCATTATTTTAAGCACTGTTAAGTATGAAAGAATTCCTAACAACTCCATAAGGAATATACAACTGCCTATCCACTAAGTAGGTAGAACTCAGATAATTGGCCTCTGAACCTGTATTTGTATACAGTTTGTAGAACAGTGATAATCCTTTGGTCAGGCCTTAGGTGTTATGTTTACAGCATTCCTTTTCCACTGTAGAACCAAACTAAAATGGAGTCACTTATGTCAGGGATAGAATGAAGATGGTCAATTGCCACACATAAAGGAAACTTAATCTAAGTTACAGGAATGTACAGCTCTGCTTAGAAATCAGCAAAGGACACCAGCCAATCCCCAGATGCCAACTCTGGTCACACCTTCTCTGGACTTCCTTGTTCCTTTGACTCAGCTACCCTGATCCAAATAAGATAGACGACTAGGCAACCAGTCAGCTGGAAAAAACTGAATAACTTCTGCATTACCCCATAAAAATCCCTTAGCCTGCGAACGACTCAGAATTGATTGCTCCCAGAGCTTTGAGTTCCCTAGGTTGGAGGTCAAAAGCCTTGAAATAAGCTCATCCTTCTGTTTTGTTTTATTCAGTACGTGGAGTTTGGTTTTTGACACCATCCACTGGTTAAGTGGGATCGTTTTACCTCTTATTCACTGTACTTCACCCCTGATCCATCCTGCCATTATTCCCAGACTTCCAACCTAACTTACCTTTCCATGGAGCCTCGATGCAGATGCCTTCTGCACATCTCTAACACTGATCTTCTCTGGACCTGGTTTCAGCACAACAAGTTTGTTGGATCCGTCACAGGCCTGTGTCAACCTGGTCAACAACATAGGCTGTCTTATTTTAACTGCCCAGTCATTCCCATTTCTTTTTTCCATTCCTTTACTTACAGCTCTTCACAATGGCTCTTCCAGACTTCCTCTACTCTTTTCATGTCACCACTAGACACTGTGTCCCTGCTCTCTGATATGAAGAGGATACCTCTTACTTCACCAGGAAAATAAATTTTCAGAGATAGACTTCTTCATCTTCTTTTCATGAATTCTGGCTGCCTTCCAATCCATGCCTCGTAATGCAGCCACCATCACTTCCTATTCGAATCCTTCCATGACTTCGCATTTCTCTTAGGATAAAATAGCAATGTGTTGTTACATTCTAGAATGAGCTCCTTATCTGACTGTACACTGGCACTTTGAGTATCTGGTCTACAGGGCACTTCATCCCCTGGACATGATGGGGGCATGATCTCTGCAGCCTCATCTTGCACCCCTCTCCCTTTCATTTTTCAGGAGTCCAGCCCACAGTGGACTCCTTTCACACCTACATACTTCAGTGGTTCATTGTCCATGCTTACCCCTCTACATGAAATATACCCTTCAGTCTGCACCTGGTTAATGCCTCCTCATCTTTATCAGGTCATGTGTCACATTGCCAAGGAAACATTCCCTTACCTGTTCTATTCATCAAATCCCCCTACCCTAAGCTCTCATAACACCATGTACCTCTCGTTCATAGCCTTCATCACATTTCACAGCCATTTTAAGATAGTTACTCACCGTATGGTCCATGAGGAAGAGATCTCGTCTGTTTTGCATCGCCAGTGACTAGCACAGTTACTACATGCCATATGTAACTATAACACTAGTTATAACACTTCTTTTTATTTATTTATTTATTTATTTATTT